AGGCAAATGTTTTTTCAGCAAAATGTTTCAATTTGGTATGTTTCACAAATTGAACGCATAAATAGAATAAACCAAACTCCATCTAGCCTGTAATTCCACTCCATAGCTAAGAAGTTAGCATTTGAGCGAATCTATAAGCAGTTCGCAGTTGCAATGGCTATCTTAGTATTAATAAGCAAGAGCCGAAAATAAAGTAAAATATCGTTAAAAATTCGTAAAGGAACCAACTCATTTTTTTTCCAATTAAAATTAAGATGGAGACTCAAAAACCAAAAAAAAAAAAAAAAAGAAGAAGAGAGAGAGAGAGAGCGTGAGCAAGATGTGGTAGTACTGACATATGGAACTACAAGGGAGAGGATGTTTACAGTTGAAGAGCTTCCAGGAACTTGTCGTGCTCTTCTTCGGTCCAGCTCTCTCGGGACTTGGTTATGGTGTAGGGTTTTCGGATCTTCTTGCCAGACCCGCACCCGTAAGCGTCGGTGTTCGTGGCGGTAGTGGTTGGAGTTGCTGAGTTGGGCATGGACTGAGGATCGGACGACGACGACGTCGTCATCGTCGGGGTGGAATTCATACCGCACCCTATAAAGATTTCACCACAGCCAAACAAAATGTACTGCACTTTTTATTAATTAGTACTCTAATCAGAAAACGGTACTAAGATGATGCAGAGAAAGATAGAGAGAAGGCGTTGGCAAGGGCGGTTTTCTTGTGAATGCAAGGTTCGATGATTTGAGGCCAGTCAATTAATCGTGTCACTTTCTCAATGCTCCTGCGATTAATCGGCTTCCTTAGCTTTTACTTTCACATTCACCTTCCGGAGGAAAGAATTCTATGTGCTCGTCAAGTGGATGAAACTTCGACGTGTCATTCACTCGTTTAGCCAGTCAACATCAACCTATAGAAGGCGTTTTTTTTTTTTTGTGTGAAATAAATTTGTTTACAAACCAAGGCAAAACACATGCCCTTGCAGACCGTCCTCTACAAACTTAGAGAGACCATGAGCGGCTCATGGATGGTTCACGGCCAAGCCAATTCAAGCTCATAGATGATGGTTTGGTAGATGAAAGTATATAAAACCTCCAATGCGTGAGTATTTATAGATTTTTAGATTGTGAATAGTATCAGAACTAGAGTTCACGAGTTCATATATGATCTTCTATTCCATCAAATTTTATTTTATATCGAATTGAGAGAGACATGCGTCCATTTAATATTAGATTTGAATTAATAAAATATCAAATCATAAGAATTTAGGGAAGTCAATCTTGAATTGAGTGCTTAGGATTTTACAAAAATAAAATAAAACTGGTCCTTATTTCCTATCTAAAATAGAGTATAAGAGGATGCGTGTTCATTTGAAATTAAATTTAGGTTAATAAAATGTCAAGTCATGAGAAGTCACTTTTACCCAAAAACTTCGTGATTTCAGAAAAAAGAAAAAAAGAGAAATCACTCTCAATCTGAGTTCTCATAATCTCATAAAAATTAAAAAATAAATAAAATCTTTTTCTAAGTTCTAACATTTATTTTGGCCAAAAAGTCAATACATTAATTTGCTACGTCAATAAACATGTTTAATAGTAGCTTTTTGAAAAAATCATCAATGTTATAATAACTAAAGAAAAACGTGCTTAAATACTGCGATCATAAATCAAATCAATAATCGCTTTGATATCTAAATCTGAAATAAAGTGATGCTATCAATAGATTTTGCGAGACGGAGGTCATCTTTCTGAGTCGCAATGCTACGACGACAACATGAAACACAGCTTGGAGGAGATACACGTGGTGAGTCACAAACAAAATTCCTAAGAGCACACGCAAAGCTTTGCTCCTGCGGTCGCCCCTACCCGATCTCTCAATTTCAATTTGCATGCCAGCGCCGCCGATGAATTGTGAAGTTGTAGCGAGCAATCGGAAAGGCAGAGGAGCACACTTAAAAAGTTAGTGGGCCCATTCGTGATTTCTTGATGCTACGTGAGCATCAATTCAGTCCACGCATTCCATGGTCATGTGACGTCGTGTCATGTACGAATCAATAAACAAATAAGTAAATGACTACGAGCAGTTGCTTGGCCAATGCTCCTAGCAATTCTCAAGCGTGTTAGTTAAACTGATACTCCTATGACGTTGCGGGTTCACCGAAAACAGAAAGAAAATGCCAACAGCCACATTTTCCTGCGCCAGAATTGGAGGCCATTGTCTGTTGGATCCTCGGATTCGAACGGCTACGAATGCGCTTAATCATGTGTGGTGGATGATCGGGCCTGCCAGACCAGTTTACCAACACCCTGGGGTCAGAGCAGTTGCTTCTTCGACTTTACTGGAGAGGAAATGACAGGTGGCAGCTGATGATCCACTCAACTTTATCAACATCTTCTTTACTTGTCCCCACCCCAACTGCGGGCACACGGGGTTGGGTTAAATGTGCCGCAAGCAACAAGGGCTTCACCCAATCTTTGAATTCCAGCAACCGAGACTGGTGAGGTGAGACCTAAGGCTCCATCAGATCAAAATCAAAATCATCCACCTGCTTCTTATTCCCCATTTCACATGCTTCACAATTCACACTACTGTCTGTTTAGTTGAATTAGGAATTTGATCATCAAGAAAATGATAACTTTTTTGCTGGTTATTGTCAACCATACCATCTCATTAAGACAAGGGAAGAATTACTCCAGTTTTTCCATCCTTGTGGTTATTGACTTGATTATTTTATTTTCCTTATTTTTTTGAATGGCAGGACTGGCATTTGATGATAGGTAATTAGGTATCTCCCAATTCAGAGAACCCGTGGTATATTTTGAAATCTATATCTATTGCAGAAGGGGTTTTTAGCAGAGACCCTCTCAATGGCTTCTAAACTTCTCATTCTTTTTTCTAAATTTTTGTATTTATTTTAATACATAAAAAAGTAGTGGGTTATAACCAACCCTATGACCAATCAAACTTAAAATTTAAAATATTTCCACTACCTACTTCATAAACCGTTTATACTTTGTTATTTATACTTTAAATCTTTTTTATTCCTTAATTAAAGACAAATGCTCATTCGTATGCTATTTTAATACAATGTTACATTCTTATAATTAAGAGATATTTATCACCAAACTAACCCTATAATCACCCCTACAAATGAGCTTTGCAAATTACAATCACGTTTCAAAAAAAATCACAAATGTGCAACTAAATGTAGAGTACAACTGAATGTAAAGTTGAGGGGATAAAGTGCAGCTAAATTTAAAGTTAAGGGGTTTACTATATTTAACCCTAAAAAAATCCCAAGAACGGAACAAGTAGTGGGTTATAGATTTTTGTCTAGATTTTTATATTTATTTTAATACATAAAAAGTAGTGGGTTATAACCAACCCTATCACCAGTCAAATTTAAAATTTAAAACTTTCTCATAATCTACTTCATAAATCGTTAAATATATTTATACTTTAAATCCTTTTTATACTTTTGTATTTATTTATATTTTAAATCCTTTTTACTCTTTACTTAAAGACAAATGCTCATTCACATGCTATTTTAATACAATTTTAATTCGGAAACACACAACATGATTAAGAAACAGCAGAACCAACATGATCAAGTTTTGAAAATACACTTAATAAAAAAAATCAAATCCTACCTCCTATTACTTTTTTTTACCACTACATACCACCAATCAGCAATAGACACCCATTACTACCACTACTACCATTGCCCCCTTCCGTACTCTCTTGTTTTCTTTTTCCTTCTCCTTTCTTCTCATTCTTTCTCTGTCCTTCCCCTCATTCTTTTTTTTTCCTTCTTCTCCCTCTTGCAATTGGATCTGGTTGCGACGAACGAGAAAGAAGAAAATAGTGAATAAGAAAGGAAAAAGGAGGGGACTAAGAAAAGAAAAGAAATGGAAAGAGAAGAGGACTATGGAGGAAAGATGAGAGGTAGTCATATGTGGAAGCGGTGGTGAGTGGTTGTGATAAGAAGTTTTTAAAAAATTTAAAAACATTTCAATAAAATTTTAATTTTTAAAAATACCCCAATAAATGACTTGAGTGACAAATTTTTTACATACAATATTTTTTGAAAAAACACCCAAAAATAATATAGGATTAGCATTTATCATTACCATTTCAATTATCTAATAGTTAGAAGTTAAAGCACCAAATTGACAAGGAAAAATACCATAAACCTCCATTGAGATTTCTTTTAATATCACCTAACATCTCTAAAGTTTTAAAAATATCACTCGCCTCCCTTACTTTTGTTATTTGTGTAACAAAATTTTAAAAATTCATAATTGCCATTTTGTTTGCTAAATAAAAACACTCCTAAACCACTTTATTTATTCCAAGAAAATTATCACCTAAAAACAATTTCTAGTAATACTACCACATCACAATGTGCTACAGTTCATAAAAATATAAATTTAAAAATAAAAAGATATTTACAAAGAAATACGTTAACACAAATTTAACTTTATATGCTTAAAATTGATTTCTTATGAATCTATATTTTTTTTCCAACTTATTTTTAACATGTGCCTAAACTTTTAAATTGTACTGCTCATTATAAAAATCAAATCAAAATGATAAAGAAATCACACCTCACATATTGCAATAACAAAAAATAAAAGATAAACAGAATTCAATTTACTATAATTTACAAATAAAAAGTTGCACAGTCATCCAAAAAATGAGTAAGAGAGAATGTTAGAGAAGAGAGAAAGAGAAGACAGTGATTTTTGTTTCTTATTTTTTTAAATTTAGATTTTCATTTATTTGATATGTGAATTACGTATCAAGTGTGAGCTAATATAGTTTTTTTTTTTTTACAATTATCAGGAGAGGTAAGTGATATTTTCAAAACTTCAAGGGCGCCAAGTGATATTAGAAGAAACCTTGGGCGAGGTTTCTGATATTAATTTCGACCAGGAGAAGAAACCTCAAAAGTCACTAGAAATTCAGGGACAAGACATGTAATTTCGACTCATCCCAAATTCCCAATTGCAGTTAAGGGGGAAAAAGCAAGAGAGAGAAAAAAATCTCCGAGGGAGAGAGGGATTATCGTTTCAGTCTCTGCAACGCTGAAAATAATCTACTCTCACTGATAGCAAAAGCGCGATTGGTGAGTTTTGAAGCCTTGAGTTCCCGGTGAAGAAAAAGATACCGAATGGATATTCGACCTGCATTTGGAAGCATTTCATCATACACTTTAAGGCCTGATTCAAGAAACAGAAACGCTTTCAGTTTTATACCATATTGCTCAAGAAAAGACTCCAAACGACAGCCCCAGCAAAATGGGAACAACGACGACGACGACAGAAATGGAGGTACTTTTATCTTTCTAACATATACAGTTTTATAACTTCGATGTGCTTTTGGTGCTAGCGTATTTGTTTATCAAGTTTTTAGGCCCCGGTGGTTAAGGACCTTTTTAATTTCCTCTTAAATGAATGTTCGATTCTCACCATTCCCACAGGCCTTTATGAAAAAAAAGGACCTTTAGCTAAATGGGGAGACTAAATTCGATATGTTCTTGACGGAGGGGGTTCATAAAAGGTTTTGGTCTCTTGGATTGTCAGTGCCCACGTAGAAAGGTCACCGTAATTTTCTCTCTGTATTGGCCATTACTTGGAAGTAGGAACAAACAGATAGACAGGAAAGAAAGGATCAAAGAAAGAATGGAGTATATATTTTTTGAATCTCTACTGTATGGTCTGGTCGAGTTTGTAGTTAAGCCCCGATTCATGATGGGTATATACCGTTTATTAGGAGTTCAATGCAATATATTTACCTAAATTCTGTGGACTTTTAAGTAGTGTCTGTGAATACTTTTAAGCTTTACAGGTCTCAATAAATGAAGCATTAGCTTGGTTGTTCAGTCCATTAGGCCGTTCAAAAAGCAATTAATCAAGTTTTGCTGCAACCAACATCTCTGCTTTACTCATTTAGTTTATGGAATCGGACCAATTAATGACGCATTTCAAATGTTTCTGATGGCATCTTTTGATTGTCTGTCCTTTTCTTTTCTTTTCTTCTTCTTTTGTCTGCTCAACTCTATCGCAAGATGTTGCTGAAAAGACCTTGCAGTTCATGGTCGTGCAAAGTCATCTCAGTTTGTAAATTAGTGCTTCTGCTATCCCTTCTTTTTCCCTAAAAAAAAAGAAAGAAATGGAAATTTGGTTATTTTTAAACTTAATTGAAGGTTAAAAGATGTATGATCTGATAAAATCCCACTTTTTTGGCATTTTTTCTCTACTAGTCCTTTTCTCAATCTTGGAATTTCACTTCTTATATTTCAGTATAGCTAATTCTCTCAATAGTATATGGAGCAGGGTACTTTGTTCTTGTAATGCTTACACTGTAAGTTAATGTCCGTCTTTGTTGATGATCTCAAAGCAATGAATCAACCTGTATAGTCTTGAAGATAAAGTCATTTATTGATTGTAATGAAGTTAGGATGCCATTAAATTAGAAAATGGAATCACTAAATAGAAACTTAGATACTGAAATATATTTGATATGAGTATCTGCAGACAAAACTTTCCATGTGTCAGGTGAATTCCGTGTTTATGCCTGCCACACTTGTTTCTATGGTATCAGATTTATCCAAAATTGGAGTGTGTTTGAAATCAGCACCCGGAGATATGTGTTGCATGGGCTTTCCTTCTATTGTATGCTAAATCCAACTGATCAAGGATCCAAAGTAGCATGTCCAGATAAATTTAACAACTATCGTGGAAGTATACATGCAAGAATATATACGCATCTGAAACCATGCTAAAGAACAGATCATTAGTATGCTGTATTACTGCCATGTTATGGTTTCATGAACTTGTTGGTGAGTTCTATGAATAAATGAAAACTATCTCATGGTTATTACCAACAGTACGTGATATGATAATGAAAGGTTAGGACATGTTTTTTTCTGATTACATATCTAGATTGGTACCATTTTCTCTGTAACTTAAGGTGCATATAGTTGCACGTATATAGGAATTTATGTTGTTACGTGGAGACTGGATGGTTCTTTGGTAGTGGCTTATTGGTTCAAGATTTTGCTCAATTGTAATCGAGCTGTATTCTTAAGAGGATTTAATTAATGGCTACAGGTAAAAGAGTGTTTCGTAGGAGATAAATAAAAAGAGGTATAAAACAGTGCTGAGCTGACATGGGACATGTTAATTGCTCAATTGCTTTTAGTGTTCTTAATTAAGTATAGAATGGTAGACAGGTTGCAAGTTGAGCTGACACGGGACATGTTAAGACTGGTGAAGAACTATTGGGAAGAAAACTAAGATGCCTGCTATATATACTTGGAGAGTGTGGTTGGAAAAGCAGACTTCCAAGGTTTGGAAAGTGCTATTTCAAAGAGAAACATTGGAAGTTTGGGACATTTAGTCATAGATTAAGAAAAAAGATATATTGATAGAGATTTAATAAGAATTTCTTTTATCATTTTATTGGAGGAGAGTTGATTCATAAGTTGGTGGACAAAATCTTATACACCTTCTCAAGTGCAGGAGCTTGTAAGTCTTCTAAAATTTGAAATCGCTCTTTGTACATGTAGAATTGATAAGTTTAAGATTTTTTCTCATTTCATATGCTTAAACTGCCTGCAAAATTACAAGGAAGAATTTAGCATTGATTGTACTCCTAATTATTTAGGTGACAAGTTCTCAACTGATTGGGACAAGGCCTGGTCAAGTTACAGGAAGCGAGGGAAGAAGACCCTGTTTTCACAGTTTTCTGACAAGTATGTGAGCTGGAACCCCAGGCGTTCTGACTACCCACTGTCTGAGGAAGTTGATCCCATAAAAAGAACAGAGAAGTCAAACCTCAAGTTGTGGACCAGTCAGAGTTTCACTCTTGGCGGTGCTATTCTTATAGTCACGCTTCTTTTGATCTACACCATTCTTGCACCAATCAAGTGAATTCATTTGACTTTGTTCGCTACTTAGAAACAACTTTGTGCTGTAATGATCCATATTCAGTAAGCGAGTTCAGGAAAGGATCATGTAAAATGTAACTTGATGCAGCAGCTTCTGTGAGTAAATATGGTGAATCTACTGTTTTCCATAATTTGTTTGACCTTATTTAAATTTTTAGTGTCTGCTATTGAAAAGTTAGTTTATGGCCAGTCATTTTTCAACATTGCTTCGATTGATCCGGTCTACATAGTGAATTGTCACTGCCAACCAAAGTTGATTGTTTAGTGGTCTTACTATCTATTACAGAGGGAAGATTTCCTGGTGGAAAGTATGATTCGGTGGCTACCATTGTTTGCAGAAAACAATCACTTACTACTGTCTGCCAAACTGGAAGATAAAGTAATGCCTTCTGGCAAGCCCTGCTTGTTGGGAAATTTTGTCTGAACTCTTGCTCATGTTGTTTGATGAATATGATTTGAAGCAGAATATCTGTGAGGGACTTTTTGCATTACTTCATTAATTTTATGTTTCTTCCTTGTTTTCTTTTAAACTTAACATGAGAATTGCATGACTTCCCTCCTTACCAGTATGAGAGATTTCTTTCTCTTTTTATGTTTCCTTGGGGTGGAAAAACTCCCATTATTGGGTCTGAGGTCAAAATTTCAACTTGTCAAGCTCATATTATTTAATTCAGCAGGGTAGCATTGAAATTTGTTGTATGATCTCCTGCAAATAATCACTTCATTATTACGATTAATTATCAGTGATTCAGATGTTGTTGGTCTCCTGTATGTCTCTGTGTCTGTGTGCCTGCTCACTTATTACATCTATGACTGTAAATAACTTGTTTTCCATCTTTTCTTCTTAATTTTCCATGCACTTGTTCGCAAAGTAGGTTTTGCTGATTGTTGGTAAGGAAAAATCTCCCAAGACAAATTTAGAAGCTGAAATAATTAATGTGCTTTCCTGTCCATGTCCTTTTTCTTCTTCTCTCCCTTTGTGCCTGCTTGATGTTTTCGGTTTGTCTTATTCCTTTTTCCGTTCTACTTTTTTTCCTGAGGGACAACATCTTGGCCTGTTTGCTCATTTTGACTGGCATAGCTTTCAGGATCCTTTTGATGAAATGCTTATGTCTTGCAGGAAGTAGAAAAACTCAGAAATCGACTGAGCTTGCTTGGCTCTGGAACACGTGTGGGACACTCTTCAGGTAACCAGTGACACGCTGTCTACTTTTTCTTTTTTTTTTTTCCTGGGGGTGGGTGGTGGTGGGGTCAACCAATGAAGACTCCTATATTTGAGAAAACATAACTAATAGCAAAGTTATTATTGTCTCTTTTAGGTGGATTTATGGCAGACCACTTGGAAGTTATTCATATTCTGAAGGATGGCATCCATGTGCATTATACTTTATGCATTGTGTGTTCAATTGACCTGATTGAATACTCAAATTTGATTGCTTGTAGGTAGAGCGTGCAGGTTGTGAGATACTTGTTTGAGTAGTCCTCTGGAGATTAAGCACTTTTAGGAAGCAGGTATCTCAGGTATAGTAGAAGCTATGTTATACGGACTCTTCATTTTGTACTAGAGTACCCATGTACACAGGACTCTCGTACCCGAGTCTGAGTAAGATAAGAGTACAAGAGTGAGATTGACATCTTAATCATCAGCATTTAACTTTTTTGAACTTATTTATTATCACATGATTTAAGCAACTTTGTTTGTAGCATATCAATTGCTATTTAACTTATTTTTAACCCGAGCAACTCTTACATAGTATATTTTCTCTAGAGAGAATTAAGTTTAGTTTAATATTTTTTGCAAGGGCAATTGATAGGAAGAACATTATAATTTAAAGTATGCATAATTCTAGAAGTTATTCCCCATTAATATTGATAGAGGTTTTTCGTGTGCTTTGGAAAATCCTAGAGGATATCTCTGTAACAATGACAAAATTGAGGCAAGCTCAGTGTAGTATATACTTTATGATGAGTTTCCATTCTGTATAAAGGTATACATATGTTTGCTAGTATTTTTCCAACTTGTTTCTTCTCCTAACTTTCTTCAAAATGCAGGTAATTATTGTTCTCAAAGATATTGTTCTCCGCAGATTTCATCTGTTTTATTCATCTACATCAATTTTGAAGCTGTTAGAATATCCATCTGCACGTTTCTTTAATGCAGCATCTCTATTTTCTCTCATATCTGCTTATGATATGATGTCTCCTCATTGTAAAGGGTAAGCTGACTTCAATGGCCCATACTGAAGAAGTTACTAAAGTCCAGAAGAAGCAGTTGTCTCAGCTCCCTCCACAGCAAGGCCAGGTTAAGGTTGAGATTTTCTGTATATCATGAACTTCTCGACTGAATGGTTCCAAAGTTGATACAGAATACAAGAGTACCAAGAGGATGAATAGGAAAGTTGTGGTGCACTGGTAGTTGCATGCAGTAAAGGAGAGACTGTTCATCATGCATCACGAGGAAGGTATACTGTTAAACCGGTTTTATGCTAGCTAGCTCGGCATGATAGTCAGGAACAACCCAGGGATGATAGCAGAAACACGGCTATCATCACATCGGACCCCGGGATGATCACGTCCGTCATCTTGTGTAACCAAAATTTTCCGCTCCAATGTTATTATTGATCAAAGTTTAACCAGATTAGGGTCACAGTTTTCATCACTGGTGAACGAACATCATCTGCAACATGCTCTTTCACCAGTCCGGCACCCTGAAAAATGTGGGTTCTCTCCCATGTGCTGCTATTACTTAAAGAGGACGGTGTCATCTTCTCTCAAGTAAATCATCTTTAAGGTTTCTGTTGTCGTCCACCTTGTAACAGTGAGGGAAAGTACTAAGAGTCTTCGGGTTTTCTTGTGGATTGGTATCATGGCACTTTCTATACTTCGGAAGTTGGTGTAAAGAAAACAGAAAAATCATCAAGTGCGGCGAGCGCAGAATGGTAGAAACATGTTAAGTTTTTTTTTTTTTTTTTTGTCGACGGAGTGGGGTGTCCGGGTCAAGTCCGTAAAGGCGGCCCGACTAATCCCCACTTCGGCCCGGCCTAGCGCCCCAACCGGACCTAGCACGTTGAAACATGTTAAGTTGAATGGGTAATAGAAACAGTTAAAATGGACTCTACTGGGCAGAAATTTTCTCGAATAGAGTGCCTATTACAATGCTGATAAAGCCGAGGAAGGAGTTAATGAATGTTTAAGTGCATGTAACACTGGATCACTTGACAAGTCAAGCTTCAACTGATATATTCCTGTAGGCCGCGGCATAAACGAGAACATAAAAGAAACAATTTCTTCTGAAAAATAACCAAACTGAATACCTTTTCTTTTTTTGCATTCATATTCATCACTACTGTTTAAAAGGCATAAATGTCTCCTATGCTTCGTACCAAAAAAGCAAAGGAAAAACCACAAGGGTTCCCAAGTATCTATTTGTAAATGTGTGATCTAAAGGGGAGGTTGAGTTCTGCAATACAAGTGCTAACACCACAGACACGTACGGTCATGTACCGCATGTATCATTCATTCATTTGAGGCAGCATTGGTCACAGACGATAGCGGACATCATAATCAAAACTGCATAAAGAGGCCTTTGGTGGAAGATTTGCCTTTCCTTTTGTCGTCAATGATGCAGCCACTACATTTTCTTGGTTTTTAGGAATCCGGAATGAGGACTTATTATTTAAGGGTTGAAAATTTGGCCATCGACTTGTCACTAGATGGCTGTATCAAGATTACAGTCATTTTCCTACCGAAAAAAGGGCCACAAATGATGATATTTAACTATCACATGCTCCATCCTATCAAAGTTGTAAGCCAATTCCTCAATGAATAGACATCCCTCTTGCCCCAACGGAGAAGGCAAACCAAGAAAACATTTTCAGGAGACTAAAGAAATCTCTTCTGGACAGCTCCGATCCATTTGATCGCACGGAGTACTCCATCTGTGTTAACCGGCAGACAAAATCCAATGTAACCTCGATATAACAACAAAATCGAATAAAAGTCCACGAAGGTGAAAACCATATCCAGCCCAACCGACAGATGAGAGACTATTGGCTTTAGTAGAATGTAGACTCTGCCTCTTACCAAAGATCAAACTCTATCACTTGGTTCATTGATTTGAAGTGATGCTCTCGATAAGCTTGCTTCCAGTTCATCCAACTCATCCACGTCCAAGTCGTCGTCATCATCGTCATCAACATTGTCATCAGAAAGCGCTTCAGCAGCTTGGGCAACTGAAGTTGAAGAACTTGGTCCGTCTGTAGTAGAGACTTTGTCACCCTAAAAGCCACAATCATAGTATACAATGTCAATAACGCAACAATAAGAATTTTGAACAAACAAGTGAACCACAGCGCACATTGGGACAACATAGAATCATTTACAGTCCTTTGGAATGATGGATTTTAGTTCAATGAAGAATTCCAAATTAATGGATTTGCAATTCTAATTAGTCAGAATATTTTGTTTGGCATAGGTTTTACCAAGATGAGAATTAATATAGATCAAAACAAGTTGGGGTGAAAATACAAAATTTATAAAATGTAGGGGCGATTATTGGATAATTCCCTTTTCTTTATTCTCCAACTCCAAGCAACTGATTGCTCTGGATGCCTCTGTTTCTTCTCTTTTCCAGCAATGCAGGAGGTGGTGACAATCATGATGACAACATCACTACTCTCTCACCCACACACTTGCATCCACCTGAACGCATTTTAGGGTCCTCATAATCATTTTTGTTTCACTTACTCTATATGCCCCTTTTGTTTTTGCTGTCCGGGGATGGCCATCACTGGCAATCACACAAGTTCGCATGTCTGAACTCGAAGAAAGCAGCAGGGGCCATAAAATAGTTGAATTAGAGAGGAAGAAAGAAAGGGAGGATTTGAAATAACACCTATTTCATTAGTTTTAGCTCTCAAAATCCCTCTTCCAGCTGCTGTATTTCAAATCCAGATATGGGTTAAGTTATCCAAACAACAGAAGGTATTTCGGCAAAGGATTTCAAATCCAAATCCACCCAATTACCCAAATCCTTCAATACAAAGCAAGGTCAACAGGGATAGATTGGGTCATCACTAAAGCAAGATCACAAGCCACTGTAAGGCCCACAACCAGAAAAGGAAGACATGATAAATGTAGGAAATTAGATAATTATTTCCGCAAATATACATGGGTAAGAATAAGCTATTATTTCCTCATTTCTTTTTTCATTGTTCCCCCATTTCTTGAGTTCCTTTTCAATGCAGGGCATCTTAGAAGTCGTCCTTCAAGTTGTCTTAGAATGGTAGTTTAACTGCAATTTGTTTCCTGAGGTGGTTAACTAATGGATAGAAGCTACTTCAGTAGCGCACTTACCATGTGCTTCATTAAGCAATTTTTGTAATCTGTCAATCAAGGATGCCAATAAAATTTCCAGCCCTAAACAGTCTTTTAGCTGCAGCAGTACTTCATGCTCGTTCCTTTTTTCGGGGGTTTTTTTTTTTTAGGGGGGGGGGGGGGGGTTTAAAAAGTAAGTGCTCTTTGATGAAAAAAAACCTTTGCTTCATGTTTGTACTTCACATTTCTATGTCTTTGGGTGTGAAAAACCTTATCAGAACCATACATTTTTATCAATGCCAACCTCCGTCTATGCAACCTCAGCAGCACACAGACAAAGATGCACAATTATATCCAGAGACAAAAAAGTATCCGTACCAGTAATGATCACGCTTGAAAGCCAGAACACAAGAAGTCTCAAAGTAGCCTCAAGAAAATAAAACATGCTGACAAGTTTAGCATACCTTTTGTTCAGGAACATCCGACTCTTCGTGTCTCTGGTACCGGTCATAGGCCCCAACATCATCCACAAACAAGCTAGCATCTGACAGGAACAGCTCGCGACCACTACAGCATTGGTAATCAGACATTCAGTGAGTAGTTACAGTACTGATAGTGTTTGTCTACCCACAAAAGCAACAAGGCTCAACAAAAGAGGGGATAACCAAGGTTGATACCTCATACGATCATTTTTAGCCCTATCAGCCACCTGAGCAGCTAAGCTAGCATCTCTTTCCTCCATCTTTTTCTTCTTCCATTGCACAAAAAGCTCAGGAGTCATAGGAGTTGTAGTCGCTACTTTTGCACGCTGGTTATAAAAAGTATACACTTGTCAAGAATAATTCCAACTTGAAATAGCAACAGGAAAGCCTGTAACTGAATGGGAATAAGGTCTTTCCAGTTTACCTGATCTTCAATCTCCTCTTCAATAGATATTTTCTCAGTTTCTTCCTCGATCAGAGCCTTGATCTGAGATTTTAGAACATATCCAGGAGGAAGAGCATGTCTGTAATGGCAATCTTTACCACCATTTGGGCACACCCAAAACCAACCATATTGCTTTTTCTCCACTGCTTCCAAAAAGTATTTACATACCTGCCAATAGTTTGGACATGAGTATGTAAGTTATTACAATCTGCTGTTCCATGTGTCACCCAAGGAATATAGAGAAAAAAGAAAAGGAGTAATATTTTGAAAAGCTTGGGAAAATGCATATACCGGGAATAAATCACCCCTTGCAGATTGGGATTTATATATCTAACTAATAATCAGAAATCTTGAGATATCCTTTTTGGCAAGCCTATAGCTCTCATCAAATTGAAAAAATGTTGTTTATGATAACATCATCATTAATTAACACAAAATAAAACTAGTATTTTTGACTTGCCACATCAGCTTATAAACATCCACATTAAGTCAAACAACCAGGAATTGGAACACATAAACTCAAAAGGATAAATTTTCATTGCTCATAGACAGTTTAAATGATGAAAGTTTTGCAGGTTTGGACCGGTAGAATCCTACAACAACACAGGAACATAACTACCAACTATGCAATACTTTGCTCTTCCAATGCCATCAATTTGCACAATGCTTGGACAACTGCAAAAAATCTCAATCTTTTGGCGCGAATCCAGTTTCTAAACCACCTATTTCAATTTAGAGGGGAGACATTTCTCCATGTCTAAACAGTCCTTGAAATTTTCGTCCTAACCTGAAGTAACCGTTTTAACATAGTCTTGCCACCAAGCCTTCTTTTCAGAGCAGGATTACAGAAGTTTTATCATGCATTTGTTGCAAAGACATGCAGGTTTTGACTGATTTATGAAAAAAAAAAAAAAAATTCAAGTGCATAAGAACCCTCTTACAACAAAGACCAAGAATATATTTCGGGAAAAGAGTATTTTTCAAACAATGACAACATTGATCCAGATAAATGATAATAAAAAGATGAATAAATCAAATTAGAAACTTTCAACCACCTGCGATGCCAATTAAGGATACAAAAAAAGAAAAGACTAATTAATCAACAAAATTTGCATCAATAGGACACAAAATGAAATTGTATCAAAAGGGAAATGTTGAAAATCATAGTTCTAGTTCAGAGCATCATTCAAATGTAAACTATGGACCAATGTAAACACATCAATGGGACTAAAGGACTTACTATATCAGTTGGCTTATTTTTATTATACTCGTTACTTTTCGACTCCACAACCTTCTCCAATGTCTCCTGATCCCAGTCAGCCATTGTATCTTCTTCTTTCCCTTCAAACCCAAAGAAAAGCATGGAACATAAGTCAAACCCCACCGAAAGGTTCGAGGGCCAGGGAGGAAAAAATGGGGAAGGGGGGATTAGAGCTATGATAAAGCATGCATATAGTAGGTTAACCTTTGAAAGATTTTGACTTTTGGGAGAGGTTCTCGAAAAATATTAATGCAGCACTTAATTTGGAAGAGTTTAAAAGGTGGTCAGAGAGCATGCTAAAAATTCTCTTGAAAAATTTTTCCACAAGTCCCTACAAACAGAGGGTAAATATTTTTTTTTGTTTACCTTGATCACGCGTGTCGCTGTAGATATCAATTTTCTCCCCCTTCCTTTGAACATTCAAATCGTGTGAGAACTTGCATTTAAAACCCTTGGCACACTGCCCCACCTTAAAATACTCGCACAATATTGATTTTGGATCAACACCTACATGAGATCATGAAAGTTACCCCAAATTAACTTTTATTCTAACGCAAATTCTATACAAACATTAACCAAAGAAGAAGACCCTTTACAAAAGGATTATTCTGTTTAGCAAAACTTTGAATAGCAACAAAAATTACACAGAGATACTTAAACCATTAGAATTAACATAGGGAAAAAGGACAATTTGGATAATTACCAACGGGTACTTTAGGTTGACTGACAGCAACTTTGAATAAATCATTCAGCTCCTTCTCTTTAGCCTTCTCTTCTTCCATCTTTTTCTGTTATTTAATGAAAATCATGGTCGATTACAACTAACGATAGAAAATGTGCATAAAAGATACGAGCTTTAATTGAAGATACACAGCACAGAGAGAGGAGGAGGGAGGAAGGGGAGAATATTACCTTGGCGTTGATTTTGGAGGTGTCAGGTTTCGGCTGGACGGATTGCTTAAGGGATTGAACGTATTTCTGGACATTTTTGGACTTGTTCTTGTTTTTGAGACCGAAGGTCTTGTCCTCGACTATCTTCTGCTTCTTGGCTAAATCGGTTTTTGATGGCTGCTTGGGAGGCATCTCTTATTTTCATCCAAATCCAATCCCTCCGCCGCTTGTTAATTAATTTATACTGATAAAAGTATCCCTCTTAATCCCGCCTGCTATTGTACATGGGAAGGTGGGGTTCTCAGTTTTTCTCTTGTTATTTTTAGCTGTCGCAATTGTCTGCTTCACCGGTTGGCAGGACAGGGAGTGGCCGGAGAACGGAGACGGATAAATGCTTCAGCATTCAGCTGTGTCTGTGAAAACCGAAAAATAATAAAAAAAAAACTAAAAAAGAAAACGAGGGTGACAATTGGGGTTCTTATACAAGGGTTTGCTTTCCAGAAGGTGCGTACGTTGTTTACTCTTTAGTACTTACCCTCTTCTTTTGCTTCTTTTTTTCCCCCTCTTTTTATTTAATCTATCCTTTTCCCACCTTCCCTACACTAAAGTGTTTAATCTCATCTCAGATATAAACATCCGCAAGAATCACAGAATTTCATGGATTGTTGTCCTCCTTCATGACTAATTATTATTATTATTATTATTATTTTCAAGTCATTCTCCAAAGAAAAATTTGCATAAAATTTCATTTTGTTACCTTTCTCAATTTTAGTATACGAAACCTCTATCTAAAAAAAAAAAATTTTAAAATTTTAAGGCGTTGAAAAGTTTTTTTATGTGGCGGACACCGAGAAAATAACAAATGTTAAATATGTTATTCGATCTTTCATTTTTTAAAAAGAAAGGGAAAAAAGTGTAACACAATCACTTTACAGTTTTAAGGAAAAATAGCAAATCCATTTTGGTTGAGTTCATATAGATATAAACAATAATAGTTTTTTTGTAAACCCAAAGTAGTTGCTAAAAAGTTAACTCAATTTGGTATTTTCTAAATTAACCAAGCACACATCATTAAAAGATTATTATCATTTTTAACAAATAACAAACACACGAGTTCCCTAGCGATTTATCCTTTCAAAGTTCTGAGGGGAGAGAGCCCATGGGCATAAATCTTTCACGACCCTTCGGCTGAATCGGCAACATCAGGCTTCTTGTCACTTCTCAATTTGGCCCAGAATCACCGGGCTTCAGGCCCAACGATCAAAGGATTTGAGTAAAAGGCCGATCATCGGGTCCAGCCCTGGAGGACCAAAGATCGAGCAGCGAGAAATGCTCGCCTTTCAATTTCAATCTTCAAATTAGCCTTAACAAGTTCATACAAATAATTTTTTTTTTCAGGAAAAGAAAAAGAAAAAGAAAAAGAAAGCGGAGGCTTTCCACTTTCAACTTTCAAGTCTCTCAACGGGAACTCTCTTGTTTTTAATGAGGGACGCCATAGCCATCTTAGCTTCCTGCTCTGTTACTCTCCCTGCGACTCATGCTCCGGCTCCTCCCTCCCACCACCGCCGCCGCCGATGCCGCCCGTCTCCTCGCACTAACCAATCGCTTAATTCCACTGCTCCTTCACTTCACTCCACGGTACGATGGGATTATGCTTCCACTTCCCGCAATCGCAATCGCAAACGCCTCGAGTATTACACCGACCTAACCTCCAACCTCGCCCGAGATGGAAGATTCCGAGACTTGTTCATGATTGCCGAAAGCTTCGTAGTTTCAGGCGGGAAGCCTTCTCAATTTGTGGCCTTGCTCGATGTCAATATTGTTTCTGCTGGGATTTCTAGAATGATTAAGGATGGAAGGCTCGGGAGCTTGATTGAGGTGTTAGGTGGTCTGAGGAAGCTAGGATTCGCTGTGGTTGAGCTCTTTGACGGACTCGCAGTTGAGGCACTTCGGCAGGTGTGTCGTCGTCAGCTAGGGAAACGTGATGACGTGGAGGAGATTGTGAGCTTGTTGGAAACACTTCAAGGTGAGTTTCAGTTGGAGTAGTTATATCCTTATTTTTTTAAAATTGTTAACAGGCATTATGTCTTCTTGTCCAATTGCTTGCCATTATTTGGCTTTGACTATTCACTTCGATGTCGTAATCTTTCAGGGCTTGGTTTTTCTACTAAAGAATTCGTTGCGCCCTCCGAAATCATAAGGCTTTGCGTTTACAGAAGAACCCCAAGTGCTGCTATAAGGTATGATTTGTTTTGGTTCAAGAATAGTATTTGGTTCAGAAGTTGCATAGTTTTCTGTCTAGTGAGCTGCTGTCTAGTTATTTGATGTGACATTTTGCAGGTATGCACAAATTTTTCCGCAGGTACATACGCTTTTGTGTACCATAATGATTGAATTTGGGAAGAAAAGGGACTTGGTATCTGCACTCAGTGTTTTTGAAGTCTCCAAGCAGAATCAAGGCTGTCCCAACATGTATGCCTACCGAACAATCATTGATGTTTGTGGACTCTGTGGGGATTATTTGAAGTCTAGATCTATTTATGAGGTAGTTGCATTTGTTTTGGGTCTTAATTCCAGTTCTTTGCAAAGTTCACAAGTTTTACCATTTGACAATTCGTAAACCAATGGCCAAGAGTCATGCATATTACCTGTTATGACATTTCTCTCTTTGGGAGACCTTGTTATCGGATGGCATCTTTTCAATTGTCATTATATGGTCCTCCATCCTAGTTATTCTGGCTCATGTCCTTAAACCTTTTATGTCATTAGCACTTGAAAGGATGATGGCTTATGCACATTTATCTTAAGCCTGCTTTGGACCCTTCTTGTGTGTAATTTTACTTGTATAGCCAAAATTATTCTCTTCTTAAGCCAATTTGTAGCTGTTCACAAACACTCAAAGATGTGAATTAGTGCGTGCTTGTGTTTACTATTAAAATACTTGTAAGTTCAGTATTTAAGAGGAAAAATTTGAAACTTGCACTTCTAGGTTGCGGTACTGGATTATCTGAATTATTTGATTTATGTAATTGAGAGATAGGATTCTCAATAAACTGATCTTTTAGTTGCATTTGTTTGACTGCTACCAGTTTCCCAGCTTGGTTTGATGATTTACTAAATCCTGTTTTCATTGTTTTCCTGTTCAATGAGTTTATAATTCTCAATCACTGATCTGTATTTGACTCCAATAAATTTTCTTTATTTTCTTGCATTACCTATTTTTAAAGACAATATTTTGCCCATAAGGGATTCAAAAGTTATTTTTTCCTATCCCTTGTGAATGGTGTGAACACAAAGCCATGCTAATGTTTAAATTTTACTGCAGGAGCTACTTGACTGTAAGTTCATCCCAAATATTTATGTTTTCAACAGTCTCATGAACGTTAATGCCAGTGATTTCAGCTACATGTTACATATCTATAAGCAGATGCAAGTAATGCTCTCTCTCTCTCTCTCTTCCCCTCCCTCTCTCTGTCTATCTATCTCTATTTATTGTCCTTTTATTTACCTTGAAGTACTGGTTTCGTGCACTGTGGAGCAGCAAAAAGTCCATACCGTTTTTGATTGAGGAGTGATTCTGGAATTTAACTTTATCATTGAATGTATAAAGATATTAGTCACCTCTTTCTCCTTCTTCCCTTTTTTCTTTTTGTGATCTTGCATTTCATTCATTACTTATTCAGTTGTCAAGTACTTACCGTGCTTAATTTGTTTGGTGGAATGCCACATCCAGAAAGTAGGTGTGACAGCTGATCTGGCATCATATAATATCCTTTTGAAGTCTTGCTGTCTTGCTGCAAGAGCTCATCTGGCCCTAGACATTTACAGAGATGTTCAACATTTGGAATCAAAAGGGGCTCTAAAATTGGATGTGTTTACTTACTGTACAATGATCAAGGTACAGCAATGCCTTTTCTGTCTTGATTATACTCTGCTTGGTGCATTATGTGTTATGGAGGCTTCGTATCCAGGATGAGAGTAATAAACTCATCTGCAAAGCAAAGGAACAAAATTCATTTGTGCAGAAGGATTTGTAGTTCATCTCATGCTGTTCTCTGTGTTGAATATTCTTGAATTGTCCATTTGGCTTCTCCAGATTGGGCAGTGGCCTTCTGAACGTGCTTGCAATTGAAAAATTCTGACATTTGCCTGCGGACTTGAAGACACATGTTTAAAATGGTTAAGGAGTGTTCTTTCACATTTATTTCAAAGACTTAAAATGCTTAATATTAGTCCGACCCTGAAATCTATGTTCAAACTACTATGTATCTTGCATGGTGCTCTAACGCAGGCAACCAGCATCTGCCTACTTGTTTCTTAAATGCCTTTGAGTCCAAGTATCATACATTTTTTTCCTACTATCTTGCATCCTAATATTCCTTTTCCTGCTCGAACTGGATTTTCACCCTGTGAGGAGTTATCCTTTTATCCTCACATCCCCTGCACCAATTATTCAGGTCCTTGCAGATGCTAGAATGTGGAGAATGGCACTGGAAATAAAAGAACATATGCTGCTAGCTGGTGTTATTCCCAACACTGTAACGTGGTCATCATTGATCAGTGCATGTGCCAATGCAGGTCTTGCAGAGCAAGCAATTCAATTGTTTGAAGAGATGCTTCAGGCTGGTTGTGAGCCTAATTCACAGTGTTGCAATGCTCTTCTTCATGCTTGTGTTGAAGCTCACCAATATGATAGAGCCTTTCGACTCTTCAAGTCCTGGAAGGAAAACGGTATTAAGATGTCTGTAAGAAAAGATTTTCATTGGATGAACAAAATAAATGATTATGCTTGCAGCAAGCATGAAAATTCCAGTACAATAACATGTAGAACCTCTGACTCAGAGCATCCATCCTTTCCGATAAGGTTTTCATTTGCACCCACAACTTCAACATATAATATTTTGATGAAGGCCTGTGGCACTGATTACTACCATGCCAAAGCATTGATGGATGAGATGAAGATGGAAGGTCTTTCTCCGAATAACATAACATGGTCCATTTTGATTGATATTTGTGGAGGCTCAGGAAATGTACATGGTGCTTTGCAGGTACCATAGTCTACTTCGTTCTTAATGAATAGTAATTACCATGACTTCCTGCCCTCTCAACTAGTATGTTCTTGTCAATGGTAATATGGAATCATTAGGAGCTCCTTCCTGGTTGCATCAATAAGTGATAGCACCAACTTTGTCCTTCACAGTGTCATGCGTTGCGATCACCTCCGCCTCATCACCTATCTCACCCCCATCCTTTTCTACAATGCCTTGTTTGGCTAGTGCAGTGATTCTCATTCTCCTAATCACTCATGCTTGGCCGAGCAATAATCAAAATCTAAATAAATGCTTCCTGCAAGGAATACAAATTGTTTTGTAATCTTTCTCCCTTCTGTGCAGATCTTAAGGTCCATGCACCAGGCTGGTACTCAACCTGATGTTGTCACATATACAACAGCTATTAAGGTAAAAACTTTCTGCTAGATTTCTAATAAGGGCTGATTGTAGCATTTATTATATTCAAGTGGATGGTCATTTTAATGGATTTTCATCTGCCATGTAACAGATTTGCGTGGAACACAAAAATATCAAAGTTGCATTTTCATTACTTGCAGAAATGAAAAGATATCAAATAAAACCTAATCTGGTAGGGATCCCTAAATTTACAAGCATTCGTTTTGAAGTTACCTGGACTTTTCTGGCAATAAAACCAATCAGCCAGGCATTTAATTGATGCTAACAGCGGAGGCTTCCAAAACGATTTGGTTTTCTGTTATACATTTTCCTTTTGTACACAAGTCAATTGTCCTTGGTTATATGATGTTTGACCATTAAAGATGTGACAAATGTGAAAAGTGTTTGAAATCTGTTCGTACTCATGATGCTGATTGAAGTTTGTTATATGAATTCCTGAATGTTTTATTAGATATGTTTTCAAGACACAATTTGCTTCAGTTTTGTTGATTTTTGAAATTTCATTTCAGGTGACATATAATACTCTTCTCAGGGCTAGGAGCCAGTATGGTTCCCTGCAGGAGGTACAACAATGCCTAGCAATATATCAGGATATGCGAAAAGCAGGGTATGTTGTCACAAAAATCTGTGTGCTTGTGTGCTATTTAAGTCATCGTTTTAACCATTTAAGTCCACATGGTCTCATTACAATCTTATTTTTCAGGTATAAACCTAATGATTTCTATCTGAAACTGCTAATTGAGGAGTGGTGTGAAGGTGTAATACAACAAAACAAACAGAATAAAGGCCAGATTGCTTCCGACAGAGCTTCTTTAGGGCCTCAGAGTCTGCTTCTTGAGAAAGTTGCAGAGCACTTGCAGGACAGTAATGCTGAAAGCCTGTCGATTGACATTCGGGGCCTCACTAAGGTGTAACCATAAACTTTAGCGGCACATAACAGGATTGTTGCATATAGATATGTATATTTTTCTATTAGAATTAAAGCCTTTCATCTAACACATTGACAGGCTGCTCATTTATTTAATCGAGTCTTCCATGCAATGCATTGACAGATTGAAGCTCGCATTATGGTTCTTGCAGTTCTACGGATGATCAAAGAGAAGTATAATCCAGGTAATTTGATAACTAGTTTAGTACTATCTAAGAAGTTAAATTTATGTAATGCGATTAAACTGTCAAAGCTGCCCTGCCTAGATAATAAAGTATCCTGTTTTAGAAACTATTCAACTCCACAAGATTGTAAAGCTGAGCATTCACATAGTAATTGCGCATTCAATTATACGACCATCAGGAATTACATTTGCCTTGTACCCTTGGGCATTTCAATTTTTTTTGGTTGTAGGAGATTCAGTGAGAGATGATCTGTTGATTATACTAGAAGAGGAGCCGTCGGGATGTGGTTCCAGACACGAAACTGGGTCTACTGAAGCAATAGCTAGCTTGTTGCAGTACGATTTGGGGCTTGAGGTTCTATCAGTAGGGTCAGTAGATGGTAGAAACTTTAACGGTGGTTTTGATATTTCCTTTCTGTATCCTAATTCAAAAGTTCTACAAAGAAGAGATCTGCCACTGAAATTGGAATCTCCTTCTAGAAGGCCTGTACCTTTACAGCGATTGAAGGTAACTAAGGGATCATTGCATCATTGGTTACAAAAAGGAGGTGCTTCTACCAGCAGATCAGACTCATCTCCTTCTGCAGAGAAGTGAACTGAAGAACTGATAAAGTTATCAAGTTTGTAGCAGTTATCATTCTTTTATTCTTTGTATAGAGTTGTAGATCAGTGTTCTATTTCTCACAATAAGGTTGTAGATAAAGGTGAAGTTGCATTTCACTCAAATCAAATGTATTTGACTGAGACTGACTACAAATGTACCATCAGTAAAGGCAAAATTTAGAAATGGATACATAGAGAAAATCACATGCTACTCAAAATATTCTGTCTGCTCATTTAGCCCCGGTTTCATGCTATTGCTGCACCAATCCTGCAAGTCAAAGTAGAGGCATCCTAAAGATCTGAAAAGCAATTTGACTTAAAATACTGAAGACAGATCCAAAAAGCAATTTAACTTCAAATACTGAAGATTAGACACTTCTCCTGGGCATCAGAATTCTAAAATTGTTTATTTCAATGAACTGAAGCTTTTTTCCCACCACAGTTGAATAAAACCATACAATAGCATCGCGAATCAGGATGTTTTGCTAATGAAAACGCAGATGCACAGCACGGTTTTCCATCCACCAAGAGAAATATGAGGTCATTTCAGAGCCAATCCTCCTGCTGCAGTTTCAGGGGCAGATAGACCTCGGACAAATACTGAAAGCCGAACGAGCTCAAGGCCTGAATCTCAGCCTTCTGCTTAGTCTTCACCATCAAATTTAACTCCTCAACCCACCCAGGATTTTTTTTCACAAAATCTTCCTCCAACAGATCCTTCCCAGTCTTGATATCCTGCTCTGTCATCGGCAACCTGCACTGCTCCGGTATGTTATACTTATCCAAATCACTCGGCCTAATCCCCAACCACTTAATATCAGGGGTCGTCAAATTTGCGCTGTCGTAAGACATATTCTTGGATCCACACCCGTAAACCGACAAGATCTTCAACCCGTAAGGATCACTATCCACCAAAGCCAACACCGGCACCTTCAATTCCGTCTTCAGTTTCCTCAAGAACAGCCTGGTTGCCACATCCGGTTGTCCTTTGGCCGTGATGATTATGCACGGGAACCGATTATAGAACCTATCCTCAGCTAACCTGATATAAGCAGCATCCTTCTCCACCAACAGAATAAACAATGCATCACTCTGCATATCCCCGACCCTGTCTATATTGGGGGGAATCGCTTTTCCGCCCATCCCCATCTTGGTGCAGTCGATCAAATCACCGTTATCGCTAAAAATAAGCCGGCCAACAACCACCCCCTTTTCGGCGGCAATCACATTGAGGCTGGACCTGGTGCAGCCCAAGATGCAGGAGACGTCATCCAAGACGGCGTCGGATTGTGTCTGGTCTTGGAAAAGCTTGACGTCTGTGTAGAAGAGGTCACGCTTAGTGACGTGGATGCTCTTGAGGCAGAGCTGGTGGATGAGCTGGAGGATGCGGGCGGTGATGGTGGTCTTGCGGACGGTGGAGACATTGGCGTAGGGACGGAGGGAGGACTTGTCTTTGAGGACGATGCGGTCGAGTTCGGGGACGTAGAGTTGGTTGGCGGAGGAACGAGAGGGGACGGAGAAGGAGAGGCCCTGGCCGGAGAGGATGGAGTGGGTGAGGCTGAGGACGAGGGATTCAATAGTTGACTGGACGGAGGAGAGAGGGAGGTCGCTGACCTCACGGCATGCTTGGGAAAGAGAGAGGTCGGCGAGGGTTAAGGGATTGGTAGAGGCGGAGGGGGTGGATTCTGCTGCTGCTAGGGCTTTGAGGGCTTGGAGGATGACGGAATCGGGTTTGAGTTTGGACTTGAAGGGTATTGAGTCGGAGTCAGGGTCCGCCGGTCGGCGGCGCTTTTTCTTGTCTGCCATACTCTGGAGAGTGAATGACTTGCTTAATTTAGGCGGACTCGAGACTTGCCTTGCTTGAGTTGTGGGGCGGGGAGGCGGGAAATGAAATGGGCGAGCAGCAAGACTTTAACTAGTAGTAGCCCGGAACTTGTGTCTTGGGTGCGTCAATGGAGTATGAAACTACTATGATTTGGGTTGGATCCTAAATTCAAGCCCATTAAATTTAATTAAGACCCAAATCAGTTTAACGTGGAATGAGTAGGAGCGTAACGTAATAGTACTATAGCTTTGAACTCAGTTTGGGTTTGGCGGGGAAACTTAAGGGAGGCGAAGCCGGCCCAAAACAAAAGTTTGAGGTAGTAACACGTGGAGGCCTGATTTTCCACAGGCTGGTGAAGGTGACTGGAGAGTCCGGTTTCTTCGTTTGTTGTTGTCCATCCAGGCTTCAGCATTGAAATGAAAGTGATGTCGTCTCGTCTGTAATACTTATATAAGCAGAATTAATCATTTTCGAATTTCATGCAACTGCTAGTACCGGTCCGGTAGTAGCATTTCCAGAAACTTCTCTCCCATTCATTCCAGGATACTGGCTAGAATTAAACAAAACCAATTATTAGTAGCTGGTAGTAGTATTTTTTATTTTCATTAAGAGATAGACTAGGCATGGCAATTCCTCTTCCTCTTCCTCTTCCTCTTCCTCTTGGTGCCACCACACCACTCCTGAATCATCATCATCATCATCAAGTCGCCGTGCCAGTGCGGCGGCGTCGTCATGCTGTACGAAACGACAGTATGAGCTTAGTTGCAGCAGCTCCAACAACACTAGTGTTTCAGCCACAATTCGATTCTGCTGTCTACAATTACAAGAAGAAGCCAATCATCAACGCTGCCTTCCCATCATCATCCGCTCTTACTCGAACTAAAAGGCTTCACATTATTGTTCCCCGCGCTGTATCCGCTTCTCCTGGCAAGTTCCCGCTATAATTGCCCTAGTAGTATCCCAGTTACTGTATTACTCTATTGGCCTCGAATCCTTTTTTAACATTTTTCCAGCAATCAGAGTAATCAGAATTTAGAGATGCGAGCCTTGGATTTCTTTTTTCCGTTTCAAAAAGGTGTATGATTCTATTCTCTTATGATTGCCACATCATGTTAATGGTGAAATAGGAGCTGAATCTTCTGAGGTGACGTCCGAAAACTTGTTAGACGGCGTGCAAGTCTTTGACTTGAATGGAAGTAAGGTTGCCATTTCTGAGCTGTGGAGAGACAGGAAAGCTGTCGTTGCATTTGCTCGCCATTTTGGGTACTGCTTCAATTTTCTTTTGTTTCCTTTCAGCTTTTGCCTCTTGTTTGAGCTCCTTTTAAAAAAGCAATTCCGAGTTGGTACTAATAATTCTTTGTAATTTTCATTGCAGCTGTGTGCTTTGTCGCAGAAGGGCTGGTTATCTTGCTTCTCACAAGGTTTGACGTTTCTTTCACTGCCTCGAGTTCAGTTATAATGAGGCTTTTATTGGTAGTTCAGAATTCAGGATACTTATCTCCTTTCCCATCTCTAGTACTAATAAATACCAGCAGATTCTCAGTACATAAATTTTCTTCTTCTTGGGTGTTTCAACCATGACTACTACTATCTTCTGAATGTATGCCCATCTGGCAGCTGTTGAATGTTTAAGGCCTCAAACTCTGTTGTTTAAAGCCTCCTGATTCCATCTTGCTTTTAAGCTAAAAGCTTTCTAAGGTCCTCTCATTTGCTTTGACTTGTACTCTTACCTTTCTTTTTGAGTCGCAATGGCTTGATAAGGAGAGCTAGCACTGGCTTTTGAGAAGTTTCAAACAGAAATTTTTTATTTGAGTTCTTAAACTTCGTAATCAATCACTTGTTATAACATTAATATGTCCCCAAGTGATATTCAGCTAGATTTTGCCATTGCAGCAGTTTATGGTCTGACTACATTTGCACAATTATATTGCAGAAATGTTCGTTTATGATTGTAGCCTATCCATTTGGCTATTGACCACTTAATTTTCTCTTTCTTTTTGAACATGATAGTGGGAAAACTAACAACCGGATTGGAAACACAGGAATCAACTTAAGTATCTGATTTGTGGGATACAACTGTCTTTGTCAATTACTATTAAAGATGCTGACTAACAAGTCAAACTGAAGAAAAAAATGTTAATAGTGTGAAGAGCACAGATCTCCTGAACACAGAAAAGAATCAGTGTTAGTCATGAGTGACTGGTACTTAGTATTTAAGCCTGTTTACCATTCAAGGATAGAGTGAAGTGATAATGTTGCTCTAAACTCTCCTTTTCTTCTTTTACAGGAGAAAATGGATGCAGCTGGTGTGGCACTGGCTTTAATTGGACCGGGTAGTGTGGATCAGGTATCCTGCTGAAGCTCCTTACACAATTATCTAAAGGTCACTTTCACTACTCCTGCCTTTTGATTTGCTCAGAAACATGGCATCTTTGGTCGCCAGATGAACAATTTTTTTGTTGCTGTTTAGTGTTAAAGCTCAATGAGAATTATGTAGCTCTATCATCTGCTGTTTCTTTTTCCTTGCCTTAAAACGTACAGAAAGAAGCAGCAAATTGAGGAGTGAAATCTGTCTTGAAATTTCAGGCAAGGGCATTTGCTGAGCAAACAAAATTCAGAGGAGGTAAGTTTGAAAGACCTTTCCTTGGAACAATCAGTGTCACAAATATTCATCGGAAATCAAAGGCAATATTGCACAGAATTTAATGCCCTTTTGGATGTCTGTTTTTGGTCTTTACTATTTTTCTTCCATTTTCAAGTGCTAATACTGCCCGGGAAAAGAAAATGATTTCTGTCTTATTAGACTCATGAGTCAGGAGAACATTCTTGAACCAAATGGACAGAATTGCTGAATAATATCTATGTAATGTTGGTGATTGATGATTTAAAAGAAATTTCCGCTCAATTCTTGTACAAAGCACATGGATCCCCAACAAACGAAATGCATAACATCTTCCCAAAGTTGAAGGCATTGGTGAAGGAATTGATCAAATTGTCGTTTAAACGCTTTAATGGTATTCTATTCTACATTTCAGAAGTATACGCAGATCCCAGCCACTCATCATACGAGGCACTCAGATTTGTTTCTGGTGTTTCAACAACATTTACTCCTGGGGTATGAAATATCTTTTATATGTTTATCATGGCTGACTATGTCTCTTAGGTTGTACGAGAGATTTTCCTTTAGTGCCTTCTTAGAGGAAAATTTTCATCCATTGATGAATCCAGGCTGGCCTGAAAATAATACAAGCGTACATGGAAGGTTATCGACAAGATTGGGGGCTTTCCTTTGAGAAGGAAACTAGGACAAGAGGTGGCTGGTACGTCCACTTCTGTTTGTACTCATGTATTCGTGTGATGAAATCGTTGGCTGTCTGTCAGTTTGCATTTTTGGATGGTACATTCTTGCAATCATTGGTCTTATAAAACTTTAGTAATAATCTGCAGTTCTTTTGTTTAATAAATATATCAGATTAAAAGACATTAGGAATCATTTGGCGTACAGACTGGCAATAGGTTAGGCCTTTGAACAAAGAATCCCCTGCTTTGGATGCTTTACACAAAATCTTCAAAACCACCACATATTTTTCTATCTTGTTTACAAGCTCTGAGTTCTTTCAGAAAGGTTAAGTTTATTAGAAACTAACTGAATTGCTGCAAAAAGCACTCTGAATCTATGGGAAGAAACAACTATCACCATCATGCTCCATTTTCCAAGTAACTGAGCATACAAGTAGAGTTTTTTTTTTTTTTTTCAGTGCAAGTGGGCGGACTTTGAGACCTCTCACTTCAACACATCCCCCCCCCCCCCCCCAAAAAAAAAAAAAAAGGTACAAGTAGACTTAATAGACTGATTTTTGGATGACTAGACTGTGTCACTGTGCGCTACAACTTCATGAATCTCTTTATTGGGTAACGGCTCAGCCTCATCTTGGTAAACCGTTGTGCATGCAATGTAAGCTCAGGACCTTTTGTTAACGGTCTGAAAATGTTTGATGGTAATACTCTTTCTGTCAATTTGATTATCCTGTGAAACCACTATCTGGTGATTGTTCTCAGGCAGCAAGGTGGGATCATAGTTGCAGGTCCTGGTAAACATAATATATCGTACATCCACAAGGTTAATCCTTGCACTTTCTTAACTTCTGCAGTACTAGAAGTTTCATGGCGCTGTTTTGATTCTGCAAGCTTACTGGAATTCTGATTACATTAGGACAAAGAAGCCGGAGATGATCCAGATATAGAGGACGTCTTGAGAGCATGTTGTCCGTAATTAGCGAATTGAAGTCTTTCTCCACCCTCCAAAGCAATATTATTTGTTACATCTCTTAATCTTCTAAATTCAGAGAGTTTAGCGAGGGTAATCTCTTGTTTTATACGTCATTATACCACATAATTTTTGGGTTTCAAGGTATAAATCCATAGGTACCGGGCCTTTCATTTCCCACCGATTTAGACCAGAAATTGAGCTTCCTTTTACTCCTCATTAGGCTTATGGATCCATCGGCTGCAAGTTTTTGTGCCATCTAGGAACGATTCTTGAGCCGGCATGCACGTCAGTCTGCTCAGAGTTAATTTGAGAAAAACAAATGTTAAGTATTGGAAAAAGCTGATATACAATAATACAAACACAGCAAAAGCCGGTCTCTCGAGGCAACCAGCAAAATTATTAGATTTCAGTGACTAGACAACCTAGTTAACTCTTCGTCCAATGAGTCTCTCCCCCCTAGATGTCAGGCATGAACTCCGCACTTTGTGCTACATGGTGAAAATGACATCACAGCCAAAGCCAAAGAACAGATGATCAATACTCTCCTCCTCTTTCTTGATGGCAGCAAAAAAACCTATCATTACACTTCTTTACTCTATGCATTGTGGACGGTCTCCTTTTGCAGAATAACCAGCATATACCATTTCACTCTCTGCCCTTTCATTGTTCACCACCTGCATCTGCATGGCAGACTTAATAGAGAATAGAGTCGCTATCAGTCGAAACAAGCTCATCCTCTAACTCTATCAATGGTACAAAGGTCAGAGGACTAGTGGCCATCAAAGATCTTACTTCCTGTGTCATTTCCAGGACACTTGAACTACACTTGGCAAACACAATCAACATTTGACATTCCAAAACTATTCAAGCGGTCCCCAAAAAAATGTTTAAAGAGAGGCCCTATAGGATGCTAATAATAGAGCTGTAAATCTCTGTTTCGTTGAGTTACTTGAATAAGACTCTGTGTTCGATCGATAATTTTCAAGTTCGAAATCTCTTTTCATGTTCAACTTGTTAATTAAATTCCTAGTTCAAATTTGAATTTGAGTTCAACTCATTTAACATAAACAAACTGATATCGAACAGGTTCGAGAAGCTCAAATTTTGGCTTTTTCTCTCAAATAATCATTAAATTCAAATACAAAACTAACCAGCTAACACTAAATTTTGTAAAATGATACTGTAATTAGGTTCATATTTATGAACGATCATTTAAATTCGCAGACAAAACTCTTGCTCATTTAATTACATATCGAGTCAAAATGTTTATTCAAATTCGACTCTTCCAAAGTTTCGAATGAGCCGTTAGCTAACACAAGCAAATCTTAAACTAGTTGAACAATCAAACACTTCCACTCGCATAACAGCACTGGCCAATAGTCAAACCAAAAGTTGGTATCGACTCCATTACTCACAGGCATCTCGCGAAAAGGATGGATAAAGTCTTTCAGCTTCAACATTAAGGTGGCGTTTGGTTCGCACATCGGTATTGGATTCGGATTCGGAATCGGATATCTTGGGTTTGGAATGAGGTCATTCATTCCAATACATTTGTTTGGTTCAAGTACCTGAAATGTGTATCATTACTATAGTTGATGTTTGGTTCGTCGACTCTTTCGGAATGGAATATAATAAATATATTATAAACCCCATCATAAATGATAGTTATTGGCTCTTTGTAAATGAGATATAAGAAATCTTCACTAATTAAATATATTAGTATAAATGTATTAGTAAATTTAGTCTAACTAATTAATAATTTCTATTAGTAAACATGTATAATTATTAGTATAATTGATAATATTAATTATATTACATAAATTAATATACATTATATAATACATATAAATAATAATATTATTATTATAAGTTTGTAACTAATTAAATTAAATATTATATATATAATTAAATATAAATATACAAATGTTATAATATAAATATATAAATATATAATTATATAATATATACAAATATTAATTATAATAATATTTTATATAAATATAATATATATTACATATTAAATATAGTTATTATTATATATTATTATATTTAAAATAATAATTATTATAATTATATAACTTATTAATATTACATACATGTATATATTATAATTATATGCACATACAATATACATTTATAAATATACATATATATTATAAATATAATATTATATAATATTAATAAATTTATAATATATATTATATAAGTATAATTATATTTAACTAAATAATTATAATATATAATTATATAATACAATAACATCATTATTATAAGTTTGTAACTAATTAAATTAAATATTATATATATAATTAATTATAATTATACAAACGCTATAAAATAAATACATAATTATAATTATATAATATATAAATATTAATTTTACTCATATTTTATATAAGTATAATGCATATTAATATTAGATATAGTAATTATTAGATATTATTGTATTTAAAATAATAAATATAAATATAAATATAAATGTATAATTTATTAATATTATATACATGTGTATATTATAATCATATGCACATATAATATGCATTTATAAATATACATATACATTATAAATATATTATTATATAATATTAATAAATTTATAATATATATTATATGAATATAATTATATTTAACTAAATAATTATAATATATATTTATATAATGTACTAATATTATAATTATAATATATTATATATATGTATATATTATAATATATAATAAATATAATATATATAAATATTAATTATATCATTGTATAATTATAATATGTAATTGGATTTGTTTCTTGGAATCAAACTTGGGAATCGGACAAAACCCACCAAAATACTTGGGAATGGAGAAACACCAAATTTTTAGAAATCATTCCAAGATTTCAATTCCCATTCCAGTAAACCAAACACCATTTATGGGGTTCATTCCATTCCACGAATCCGATACCCTTTTACCAAACGCCCCCTAAGTATTTTTTGGGCCGGTTTGCTTCAAAAAAATGCTTTGCTATTTTAATCTTCAATTATTGTGGATATCATCATATCAACAAGAAACATACACCTATTTTTGTAATATTTTTCTCATTTATTGGTTCGGCTTATCTTCCCCTCCCTCCTTCCCCAATCCATAGGACAGAGCCAACGTTAAATACGTATAATTATAATATATACCTTTATCAGCGTCTGTTGGGGCAAAAAAGCTACAGGAGCTTTCACTAACGGAAAGCAAGCCAAGCAATTTCTCGTCAAACACAACTAAGTCAAATAAAAGTAAACAGATCAAGAGGATAATTTAGCATTGAAATATGATTGGTATCACCGTACTTATATAGAATACTGTGACGAAAGAGCACAACCAAGCTGCAGCATCTTCCACTTATATCCAGTTTCCAGTCCCTTACACAGGAGCTCATCCTTAAAGCAGTTTCATGATATAATACGGACTGATCCATCCTCATTGACCACCATCATAATCTTTTTAATATTTGGTCGGTGGAAGGTTAATGATTCAAAATTTACCTCCCATCACTTGTTATTATATGTAACTTGTTATTTTAAATAACTTAAGATTATATGTAACTTGCTATTTTAAATGACTTAAAATCCATACGAATAAGTAGTACACTTGTCCGATTTTATTTCCCGTCCTTTTAGAATATACTAGATTTTAGTTCCCGTCCTTCTAGAATATACTAGAATGGTAGGTTGATATAGAGTAAACAAGTCCCGATCAATCCAAAAAAAAAAAAAAAATCCTTACCGTGTAACTTTTTTCAACAAGATTTAATACCAAAATATCAAAATTTTTAAGGTTAAATCTCCTTCAATCAGATTAGTTCAGATCCATGTTACCGCTCGCACCATTAAGAGAACACGCTGATAAAGGAAAATGTTAAAGTCCATCATATCACACTGTCACGGCTTTTGGGTAGTTTATTAAGGTCCTCAGGAACCACAAGAGTTGCCGGTTTTGTGATTTCCTGTGGAGTTACTTTACTAAATTGCAAAAGTCAATCTGTTGACTAGAAAAACACTGTCACGGGGTGAACCGATGCACAAAATATAATCACGGCCCACGGATGAGATCAATTCTAAGATAGCACACCTATAGCTAATATCAGACCTTGAATCATGAAAAAGATGAACATGCCAACCTCCCATCTTTAGCATAGAATAGTAAGACAGTTTACTTCATTTTCCCTGAATTTGGTACTGAAATTAAGAAAAACGATTTCAACAAACATTTATTACGGGAAGACAGAATATAATTCAAGGACCTAAACAAGTAACTAAAAACAAGCATCTACTATTAAGGCTTCTAATTCTTAGAAGGCACCACCGCGCAGACGAAGGACAAGGTGAAGAGTGGACTCCTTCTGGATATTATAATCCGCCAGGGTGCGCCCATCTTCGAGCTGCTTTCCAGCAAAAATGAGTCGCTGCTGGTCCGGTGGAATTCCCTCTTTGTCTTGGATCTTTGCTTTGACGTTGTCGATGGTGTCTGAGCTCTCAACTTCAAGAGTGATAGTCTTACCAGTCAGAGTCTTCACAAAGATCTGCATACCACCCCTCAAGCGCAACACCAGATGAAGAGTAGATTCTTTCTGGATATTGTAATCAGCTAGGGTTCGACCGTCTTCCAACTGCTTTCCCGCAAAGATCAATCTCTGCTGGTCCGGCGGAATTCCCTCTTTATCCTGGATCTTAGCCTTGACATTGTCTATCGTGTCAGAGCTCTCGACTTCCAACGTGATCGTCTTCCCAGTTAGGGTTTTGACGAATATCTGCATACCACCGCGAAGCCTCAAGACAAGGTGAAGGGTGGACTCCTTTTGGATGTTGTAGTCGGCTAGGGTTCTGCCATCGTCGAGTTGCTTGCCGGCGAAGATTAATCGCTGCTGATCCGGTGGAATACCCTCCTTATCTTGTATCTTAGCCTTAACGTTATCGATCGTGTCGGAGCTCTCGACCTCCAGGGTGATGGTTTTGCCGGTTAGGGTTTTCACGAAGATCTGCATGCCACCGCGGAGGCGGAGCACAAGGTGGAGGGTGGACTCCTTCTGGATGTTGTAATCGGCGAGGGTGCGGCCGTCTTCGAGTTGCTTGCCGGCAAAGATGAGGCGCTGCTGATCGGGAGGGATGCCTTCCTTGTCTTGGATTTTGGCCTTGACGTTATCAATGGTATCAG